AGCCCCCTTATCATTTTTTAAATAAAATTTTTTAAAGAATAGTTTTAGATTTTTCTCCCTGATCATTTTTTTGAGGTAGACAAAATAGGAAGAACAGAGACTTGATCAATTGTTTTGTTAATATGGAGAAACAAGACCACATTAAGAAACTAACAAATCACAAAATTTTATCTCATTGCTCTGGTTAACCCAGCCAGTAGTATTCCAGGGTGTTTCTCTAAGAAAGTATTCATTGGAGAAGACTGGCCAATGCAAACTCCATAATGAAAATCATATTTTTATCCTGCTGTAGTTGACTCTCATCATTTTCTTGACATGCTTCCTTTACTTCCTGTTCTTTAGCTAGTTTCAGTAAATAAAATACTTCACATTTTCACAGTAATTTACTTAATCTAAAAACTTACAGTCCTTCACATTAAAACTATAAATAATACCCTGACTAATGACAAACATGGATTATTCTCTATGCAGTCTATTTCATCATTTATATTCAGACATAATCTATATTGTATTTCAGCATATGAATTAGCTGGGTAATAGTCAATCTTGAAGAAGTCTAGGATTTTGCTTTTTAATCAGGCTTATATTAGACTCATAATTATCTAGAGATACAACAAAATTTTTGCAAGATTGAATATTAGTCAAGTTATCTATAGACATTATTAAGAATATAATAAATGCTTAATAAGGTTACATTTAGGGAACTAGTTAATAAAAGAGGCAAAGGTTGTGATCCAGTCTTCCCTGAGTTTTTGGCATGTCAAATCTGGTAGGAGTTTCATAGGATTTTGGCTATATATGTTATCATATGGCCTTGAATGAACTATTAAAGGGATCCAAGCCCATGTTGCCAGTTTATTTTCTTAAACACTTCTGGTAGTTTTCTTTTTCTTTTTGTTTTGGTTTTTCATTTTTCACATGTTACAGATTGAACTTTGATTGCCACACAGAGTATTCATTAACTAGAAGTCACCTTTTGCATATGCCAGTATTTGAATTTTTCTTTCTAGGATAGCTGGAAGTGAGGTGGCACTGACATTGAATCTTTCTTTGGCTTGTGAATTCTTTTATTATTATTTTATAATTCTGTTTCTTGTTTCTGAGAAATACTTAATACAACTAACAGAACATTTATTGATCACCATGCTCTTACCCTTTTCTAGCTGTAATTTTTCTTAGGCATTTTATTCCCTACAGATCAATATTAAGTAAACACGGCCTTTGCAAAATGACTACTTTCATTTCAATTTCACTTGTATGATTCAGTATTCACAACAATGTTTGACATTGTCTTATTTCATTCTGACAATAGCCCTATGAAATAGTTAAGGCAGGTGTTGCTCCTTTGATTTTGACTTTTGAGTAGCCCAAGATCATATATCCAACAAGCACCATAGTGGGGTCAGGAAACTAGTTTCCAGCTTACAGTCCAGTGTTTGTTCTTGAAACCAAATGGCACTCTGTTCACATGATTCAAAACCTGCTTCTTTTTACTCATGCTAAATGTCTCTAATGTGTTAACAACATACCTTGAACACAGCAGAATCTGAAATACTTTGCAGTATACTCAACATAGCTACAATATTTAGGGTCAGATTGTTGGTGGTATAAGCTGAATTCTGAGTTTTGGAGCTGCTCATCCTACTGAGCATTTGTATACATTCCAGCATTAATCTTAGGATTCCAGGAAATGGGCATGATCCCTTAGTCCTTGGTATTTACCTCATTAGGTAGCACAACTCTTTACTACTTGGAAATCTATGCAGTAATGAGGCATATAAGTAATTTAACAAGAGAGTTATTCACATAAAGACAAAAGCTACTTAGTTTCGCGTAAATGTGGGTACAAAACTCAACCTTTCTGTGTTTTTCTCGGCTGGTACAAAAAGTTCTCTGTCTGTACTTCATTAAACCTGTTTACCTATAAAAGAGTTGTTTGAAATTCTACATTTGTATTGTAACTGGGTCATAACATTTTCATAAAAGAGCTAGAAGTTTAAAAGTGGACTCCTTGTGCACAATCATTGGTAGGCAATATTTGCTTTTTTATATAATAAATACCTAAAATTGTAAAATTCATTTTTAGGTTAGCCAATTCTACTTCTTAGATAAGAGTATAATATTTAAATGTGACTTTGCCTTTCTCTAAATTCTGATGACTCATTAAACTATAACAAAACTTTTTTCTTGAATTTAAGTTAACCATCAGGATTTCCTTTCCTGCAAGTGCATGTGTTTGCTTTGCCCCTGCAGTGAGACAGAGAAACCCCTCTTGTTGACTGGTTTCCCTCCTATGCCTTTTCCTATTTGCTTACACCCTGATCTGACCCCTGGGCTTATGTGTACACCATTCTCCTGACTCCTTCCAACTTAGAGCATGGTCCAGATGAAAGATTTATGTTAGTTACATCAGCTAGTTTGTCTTTTTTTTTTCCCCCTTAAAGTCTAATCTTATCTGAATTTGAACAGCCTTAAGACATCCAAGTAATAAGTTTATAGTTTTTTTTAAATAAATATTTCTTATCAAAAGAAATTATACTGCTTCATTTCAGGATTTATTTATTTAAGGCTTAAGTTAATTTTTCTAGAATATAAATTGAATGCCATTTAAAACATTATTTCAAAAATTAAGAACTTTTTTTTTAGTTATGACAGGATTTTCTTTCAGTGGTTAAAACTTAAAAGAAAAAAAAGTTAGAAGGCATGAATAATTGGTACTTGCTCAATTCTTTGTTTTGTTCTTGTGGTACTAGGAGTTGAGCCCAGAGCACGCTACCACTGATATACATCCCCATACCTTTTTATTTCTTATTTTGAGACAGGGTCTCACTGTTGCTGAGGCTGGTCTCAAACTTGAAATTCTCCCTCCTCAGCCTCCTGAGTCACTGGGATTATACTACCATGCCCAGACTACTGAATTCTGTTTAAAAACAAAAATAATTAAATTGTGGAAGAGTTTTCATTTTATGTTTTGGTTACCTGGGAGATACTTTCCTCTGCTTATCTGTGACAGGGTGTGTGCTGACTGTGATTGTGTGTGTGTGTGTTTGTGTGTGTGTGTGTGTTTGTGTGTGTGTGTTCCCCTTTTGGGAAATGGGAGGTGGAGAGAGGAGAAAGAAATTTTTTCGCTTTATCTTTTTTCTCCTAGTGCTTGTTTAACTGACCTTACTTGTGGAAAAATTAGCATATTTAGACTTTAAGTATTTGTGATTTTACCCCAGAATATTTCCACTTAAAAGCATTTCAGTCTGCCCCCCAGGTCTCATCCTTACTTTTCCTTGTTTACCTCCTCAACCTGATCTTCATAGTAGTTTGAAAGAATATGGATGCTGCTTTACCTAACCCAACTCTGGCAGTGGGAGCTCCCACAGTAACACTGCTGCCTCACACAGCCCGGCCGGAGGCTCATGTGGAACCTTTCCTCTGCTCAGCTGGCTAAAGTTGATCCTGTGTGCTATACCTCAACATCCTTTCCTTTTATTTATATGTAGACTACTTTATTAGTCTATCACATTAGTTGTCAAAGCTACTGATTAGTTTGTGTGTAACTTTTAAGACCTGTGTCTTTATTAGTCTAGAGAAATGACAGTAAATTTCTAAATATCTACCTAAGCTAGAAAGAGGTAAGGAGGAGAATTAACTTAATACTTTCTGTTTTTGATAAAACAGCTTAAAATATAACACCCTTTTTTTTTTAAACACAGAATTAGTGCTAAATTTAGTTTACTGTGGATTTACTCCATGACTTCTTGGGTTGCTTTATAAATAAAAATTAGTTATATTAAGATACTATATCTTAAATGCAACTGCAAAATAGTAAAATTAATCTAATGTTATGTCATTCTTGTTAATTTATATCAATCTTTGCGTTTTATAATCCTTTGAACACATTGACAGGGAGAAAGGAACTTGTTAATACCAAAGATTATCATTCTTTGTCATATAGTATTATTTCTTTTGTTTTTGTGATGCTGGAGATCAAACCCAGGGCCTTGCACATGCCAAGCAAGTGCTCCACTACTGAGCTACACCTCCAGTCTTGTCATAGGCCTAGAGAGCTAAGGGTAATTTGCTTTAAAATATTATAGTTGGCTCATGAGAATATTAAAAAGTATTCTAACAAAGACAACTAGTAATGTAGGGAGTAGAGCTACACTATAAAGTCACAATATTGAAGCAATGTGGTAGAAGTCAAGATTAGATGTACAGATAATTGAAGAATAGAAATACTATTATTTACACAAATTTGACGTGTTCAAGTAGGCATTGTTAAACAGTGGGTAAGGTATTGAATACTTAATAATGAGGTTGAAATAACAAGTTAGTAATTTTGAGGAAAAAATTCATTTAGCGCTAAACCTGTACCCAAATGCAACAAAATTAATTTTAGATATGAGTTAATTTGAGTTATGTTCAAACAATCACATCATTGAAAATCTAGAGGATAAGTCAGGTGTCATGTTGCTGGCATCACAACTCGAGGCTGAGACAGGAGAATCACGTGAGCCTGGAAGTTTGAGACCAGCCTGGGTAACTTAGCGAGACCCTATCTCAAAAGAAAATCTAGGGGCTGGAATTATGGCTCAATGGTAGAGCACTTGCCTAGCATGTGTGAGGCACAGGATTTGGTTCTCAGCACCATATATAAATAAATAAAAGTTAATCGACAAAAAAAAATTAAATAGAAGTCTGAATATAATTTCTTTATAGTTTCTTAGCCATTAGAAAAATGGAAAAAGAAGACAGCAAACATTGGTCTAGAAGCCCTTCCACTTCTTACCATCCTTAAGTGGGATGCACCCTTATAGAATCTGCCCCTATCTTGTAAGAAATCTATTTGTTTCATTGTAACTGTATCCCTTGAGCATCATAGGGCATGTCTCTTCCACAGTTATAATCTGAAGATTAGTCTCTCCTTCCTTCATACAAGCTACCTTTTGCTGTCCAGATTAGCTAATGGAGCAGAGATGCATTCTTTATCTGATATTTTATCCCTATAGGTGCGTTGAAAATTACACAGGAGCTCGTTGTGAAGAAGTTTTTCTTCCAAGTTCAAGCATTCAAAGCAAAAGCAACCTGTTTGCAGCTTTCCTGGCATTGACCGTTCTTCTAGTAACACTTACCATTGCAGCCCTCTACTTCCTTTGCAGGTAACCAAAATAGAAACATGCTCTTGAAAATAAATGTAGCACATAAAGTAGTAATTCCACTAAATAATTAATATGCTTTCACTCTGGGAGGTTTTATGTTTAGAATTATTCCTCTAATGCAGCTTTTGTAATTAATTTAAAAGTAAATTTTAAAGCATCTTATTACTAAGTAGTCTCAATTTGTCCTTTTTTACTACCATCATAATTTGGACTTTTTGGACTTTCTTAAACAACTAAGGTTTAAACTTACTAAGGTAAGACGTCACCTAAATATTTACGTGTTTGCGGCATGATGACTATAGTGAGGGTGGGTCTACCTTCTCCTAAATATTTAAGTGAGGTCTGTTTTAAGTTAAGTCTTGAATATGAAAGAAAAAAACAACTTATGCAATACTGGAAATAAAAGTTTAAGACATGTGGTTAATATGTAGAATTTAGAGCCTACTGTACTGTAGGCACTGTGCTTCACATAATTAATCCCATACTGAATAAGGAAGACTTGTTCCCTAACTTCATAGGAGATTTAAATCTATGTAGAGAGAGACAAATAAGCAGGCAATTAATTTGGGAACACTGGTAACTCATAAGAGACAAAAGGAAAAATTACTTTCATGGAGAATGCTGTACACTGAAGATTACTTTCATTCATCAGTTTTAATCTTCAGTGTTTTTTGAAATTGTGTGAAAATGTGAAATTTATTAAATTTAGGAGTTATCCAATATCATAACTCATCATTAACATTTACTAAATGCATACTGTATGCTATTCATACTTGTGAAAAAGAGCTAAGAATAATCATAAAAGAGGTACAAGTTGGCTTAAGAAGTTTATATTCTAAAAAAATATGTAGGTAAAATAGTATTTCATAAAATATTGATTTCTCTCTCAATTGTTTTATGTCAAGGAGTAATTAAGATTTGGAAGGAGTTCTTTTTTAAATATGTGGTATCATGTATTTTATTTCAAAATACATCATGAAGGCAATCCAGTAGGTTTTGTCTCTCATAATTTTAACATCTGACTACTTAAGATACAAAAAGTTACATACAAGCCCATTGGATCAGGTTGTGTTTCCCAAATATAGCCATACAATAGCTTTCATTTCCACATACTCTTCTGCAATGTGATCTTGCCACTCTCCCATCAAGAGGTAGTTTATTTCTCTAAATCTTTGAATATGGGCAGGCACTATTATTCCTTGGGCCATAGAATTCTGTTCATTTCAGTTTTGAAGTGGCCTAAAAGCTTCCACTTCTTGCCACCCATACACAGGATGCTCCCATATAGAATCCATCCTTATCTTGTAAGAAATCTAAACAGCACAAAGAACCAGCCCCACAGCCAGTGACAACTGTCAGCCATTTAAATGAGCCATCTCAGACGTCCAGTTCATTTGAACCTTTGATTGACTCCTGACTTAGCTGCTGATTGCCTATAATCACAGAGACTCCAAGCTAAAAATGCTCAGCTATCAATCCACAGAACCATGAGCAATAATTTTTTTTATTCCACTAAATTTAGGGTGGGCTAGGTGCAGTGTAATGCCTGTAATCCCAAGTGACTTGGGAGGCTGAGGCAGGAGGATCGCGAGTTCAAAGCCAACCTCAGCAATTTAGCGAGGCACTTAGCAACTCAGTGAGACCCTGTCTCTAAATAAAATATGAAAAAGTGCTGGAGATGTGGCTCATTGGTTAAACACCCCTGGGTTCAATTCTCAGTACAAAAAAAAAATAGGGTGGTATGTTATACAGTATTAGATAATGAGAACAGACATTGGGATTTGATTTACCCTTGACTTTAAATGTGTAAATGTCTGGAATAGTGAATGATCTATTCTTATTCTAGTCTTCTAAACATTTGTCAGTCAGTATGCTAAGGGGAAAACTAGCTGATTAACTACTCTAGTGCTGGCTTCGGATAGAGTTTTAAACTTTTAATTGGACAATGAATTACTCTTTGTACCACCAGTTATGATCGTCTAGGTTTGGCTATAGTAACTATCAGCGTACTATGATTTGAATTTAGTGAGCTCCAAATTTTATGCATTGGAAACTTAATTCCCCAAGTAATGAGGGTTCTACCAGCATGAATGAATGAGTAATCACTAGAGTGGCTTTGTTATAAAATAAGTGCTCTCTGGCTTGCTGGCTCTGTCTCCTCAAGTGATGCCCTCTGCCATGACAAGACCCAGATCAAAGGCCCTCATCAGTTACTGAGCAAAATACCAGTGCTTGTAAATTTCCCAGGCTGTGGTATTCAGTTTTAGCAACAGAAAAAAAGAAAGACTAAGACACAACCTTAATAGTTAGTGACTCAAAATGTTAAAAGACTATTCCTCATATTTAATATGTAATTATTATGAGCTAGTACACATGGTTTTGCTAATCATATTCACTTAAGGACTCAAATTATGGAGTAATCACTAATTTCACTGCTGTCAGTTGTCAAGCCAGAGGAAAAAAAGAGCTGGAGGGTCTCATACTTGAAATGATCTGCCTAAGTGACACACATCACTGCCTACTTAATTAACTGGCCAGAACAAGTTTCATGATCCTACTCAATTACAAAGAGTGTCAGAAAATGCAGTTCAATCATTTGCTTATAAGTTAGAGAACCAGAAGTACATGTCTAACAGTTACCAAAAGTCTTAATAAGGAAATTCGATATTCTAGTGGGATTTGTTGCCAGTGGATTTGTATGGTTTTTAAATCCATAGAATTTAATATTCCTATAATTATCCAAAAATTATTTTGTCAATCCATAGAGTTTGTGAAGAGCATGATATGTTGTACCCCACAGTGCTCAATGCCACTGAGCATCAAAGTCTCAGATATGATACCTTTCTATTCATAGTTGCTCCCCAGACTGCCAGAATTTAGAAATATTTTTAATATGAAGAGCACTAAAGTAGACAAAATAATGTCTTTGGGGTAGAAAGCATAGTCATAATAGAAGAAATAGATTATATAAGAACAATTAGTTCTAAATAAAAGAAGGGGGAAAAATTCTTTAATTACAAATGCTATGTGGATTTGCATTCTTCCTGAATTTAGACACTCTGAAGTGGGAGGTGGGTGGTAAGAATATAAACTAGTCCAGGCTGGAAATGTTTCCAGGCTGTTGACAGAAACAAATACAAATCAATGCTGGAAGAACCTACTTTCATTCTTTACCTTAAAAAGCATCTTAACATCATAAAAAGAATACCAAACAGAAGAGAAAAGGTACCATTAGTTAGAACTACCAGAAATAACTGATAGTAGACTCAGATATTCAAAATTTTTACTTTTCCAAAAGAATCAGATGTGATATAAATTACTTATGTTTTATATCTATCAAAAAATAAATGAGAGACTTAAAAATAAGCAGATTTTACAAAGACCAAAACAGAACTCCAACAAATAATTATAATTTTTAAAAACTCAGTATATGTCTTAGTTCAAAAGAATTTATTTAAAGATTAGCTAAGGGCTGCCAGCTATGGGTCAACTCATTAGCATATGAAAAGAAACCAATCATTTCAGAGATTCCAAGGATTATATGAATTGTGTGCCAGGAAACAGGGACTAAGACTCCATTCTCATGACCTGATTATCTCCCAGAAAATCCTATCTCCAGATACCATCACATTGGGGAAGACTTCAACATATGAATTTCTTTTAGCCTTCAGGGACACAAGGCAGTATATAAAATTAGCAAAGTCTCAAAATACAAATCAAAATTTGAAATATAAAGGAAAATTAAACAAAACTACTATAATAGTTAAATTGTAATGTATGACTCAGAAATTTATAGGTAGATAAAAATCAGTAACATAAGATTTTAACAATATAATTAACAAGGTTAATCTACTACTTATAGTAGCCAATAGCTACAAAATTCTTTACAAGCTCATACAGAATATTTTTTAAATTCTTCTGTCAATAAAGAAGTTTTTATCACAAGAGGCAAGAGGATCATAAGTTTGAGGCCAGCTTTAACTACTTAGCAATATCCTGTCTCAAAATAAAAATAAGAAGGTCTGGGGCTATAATTCAGTATACATGAGGGCCTGGGTTCCAGGCCCAAACAAACAACAACAACAACAACAACAAAAAAAAACCAGGCCCAGTTTTACTAGTGAGTTTCTTAAAACAAACCACATGCTATCATTGAAGATAGATAAACAGAAATATTCACTTTTTTTTTTTTTTCAAACAAGCATCATTTTGATACATCTACAAAGTGTACTAGTCTGCTAAGGCTGCCAAGACAATATGCCACAGACTAGGTACCTTAAATAACAGAAGTTTATTTTCTCCCAGTTACAAAGATTAAAAGCCCAAAATCAAGATGCCACTGTAGTTGATTTTTGGTAAGGCCCCTCTTCCTGGCTTGTAGATGGCCGTTTCTCTGGGTGTGCATGAAGAGGAAAAAAACCTCTCTGGTGTCTCTTCCTATTATAAGGACACCCATCATTTCGGATTAGGGCCCTACCCTTAGCCTAAAATTACCTTCCCTAAATACCACCTTCAAATACAGTCACGTTGGGAGTTTAGGGCTTCAACATATGAATTTTGTGGGGACACGATTTAGTTCATAACAGATAACATTATGTATTAGAACTCTCAGATGAAAGAGAACCAGTAGGATGTAAATGTGTGTGTGATACACACACACACTTTTTAAGAAACTGACTCAAGCAATTATGGAGGCTGCCAAGTCCAAAATCTGCAGGGGCCAGCAGGCTACAGATCCAGGGAAAGACTGCTATTGCATTTCAAGTTCATAGGCAATCAGGTTGGGAATCTAGAGAAGAGTCAGTATTCATTTCAATTCTATAGGACACAGAATTCCTTATAACTCCAGGGAGATCATTCTTTAGTTATTAAAACCTTCAGCTGATCAGATAAGGCCCATCCACATCAGGAAAGCCACTCTGTTTTACTCAAAATCCAGATTTAAGCATTCATCTCATCCAAAAAACATCTATCTGATGATCTTGGATTTATTCTAGGAAATGCAAAGTTAATGGAACATTAAAAATTAAGCTAGCTAACATTAAAAATTACAGGTGGAATGCACCTGTAATGCCATCAACTCAGGGGGCTGAAACAAGATTGCAAGATCAAGACCAGCCTGAGCAACTTAGTAAAACCCTGTTGTTGTTGTTGTTTTGTTTTGTTTTGTTTAATAGAGTTGGGGATGCAGTTCGGTAATAGAGCACTTGCCTAGAATGCAGAAGGCCCTGGCTGGATTCAATCCCCAATACTGAAAAAATAAATATTTCATTTTACTTATAGATTGAAGGAGAAAAATCTTTTAGCCTTCTCAATAAAAACTTATACCAAACTAAGAAGAAGAAAAAAAGTATGACTATAAAAAGCCTAGAGCTTTTCCATTTTCCATTTGTGCGACATATGTAGATATTTGACATACAAAAGGGATGGTATTGCAGAGCAGTGGAGAAATAATGGGCTTTCAATAAAAGTTTTTGGCATTATTGCTTATCCATACAGAAGAAAGTAAAATTGAGGTTTTGCCTTACAGCATACATCAAAATCAGCTCAGAGAGATTAAAGGCTTATATTTGAAAAGCTAAATGAAAACTATTAGAAGAACATTTAAAGAATATCTTTGTATCTTTAGAGGATAGGGACAGATTTTGGAAATAAGAATCATAAAGCAAAAGATGACAAAAGAAATGGCTAATAAATTTGCTTTTATCAAAATTGAAAACTCCTAGTTTCCAAGATACCACTAAAAAAAGACCAACCAAGCTACAAACTAGAAGAAGATATATGCAACACAAGAAATATAGTCATGGATATTTATTTCTTGAATATATCAGATCACTAAGAAAAAGGTAAACATGTAGACAAATGGGAAAAAATAATTGAATTTATAAAAGATGAAAGATCCAGAAAATAAACATGCAAGCCTTGCAACCTTTTTATAGAAATGCAAGTCATACCCACAATGAAAAACCATTATTTCACCTGTGAGCCTGGCAAAATAAGTTTTTTAAATCATAGCCAGACAATATAAAATGGTTTTATATTAAAATTTGAAAAGTTTTAACACTTTTGAATCAGTTTGAAAATACCTTGTAAAGCTGAACAAGTGTGTGCCCATTCTTCTTCTGGCTACAGGTATCTGATAAATTCTTGCAGATGTTTACCAGGAGTTTATAGTAGAATGGGTTATAATAATAAAAATATTGAAAAGTACCCAAGTTCTCATGAACATGAAATGGACGAAAAGTTACATCATTCAAAAGAACAATATGTAAGAGAAGAAATGAACTACAGTTACATATATCAACCTGGATAAATCTTACAAACATAATTTTGGGTGAAGAAGCAAGTTACAAAAGAAAACATGACAATAAAATTCCATTCATATAAAGTTTAAAATGAAGCAAACCCAAATATATATATGTATATACTCACGCACACACACATATTCATATACACACACATGTGTATATGATACATGCATACACACACATACACATACACACACACGGTGGGTATAAAGAAAGGAGAGATACTGGTTACCACAAAATACAGGCAGGTGGTAACTACTGGTGTGGACAGGAAGGATTCAGTTAGAGAAAGTACACATAGGGCTTTGAGATATGTTCATAGTGTATTTCTCATCTCATGCTGGGTATATATATATTTATTGTTCATTGTCTAACTTTATGCATTTTATTCACCCTTTTTATTTGAATGCTTTATTTCAGAAAAAAGCAACAATTTGCTCATAAAAGTTAAACACATTCATTTTAGAACATTTGGAAAATGGGCATAACTTTAATCAATGAGAAAAAATAGCATTCTTACAAAAATGACTAATTTTCAGGGTTGTAATGTTCTTGAAATCATGTACTTTCCATTTTCAAATGACAACATAAGCAGAAGTAATTTTTTTGTAATTATGTGAGTAAAGATGTGCCAAGAGCAGAATTAATTTGAAAAATAACATGAGTAGCTATTGCTCATGAAATCTAGAGATTAGATTTGGATCTGTTGTATACCGACCATGTGAAATGTATTTGTCTTTTGGAAATGTGGTTTTAAGAATGAAACCAAGGGCTGGGGTTATGACTCAGTGATATAGCGCTTGCCTAGCATGTGTGATGCACTGGGTTCAATTCTCAGTAGCACATATAAATGAATAAAATAAAAGTTCATCAACATCTAAAAAAATATTTTAAAAATGAATGAAACCAATCATTGTTTACTATAACAGTTTTTGGGTCCTTTAGTGGTTTAGTAACTACTTAGGGTCATCTTTGAATGAGGTCCAAATGATACCTCACCAATGCTAACCTCTGGGCTAGAATCAGTAGCTTTCAGAAGTAGGAGCCATTCTACATTGAGAAAATATATGCCATTTTGCTAAGGTAAGATGATTTTGAATTCATTTTCATTAATGTAAGTAAATATTCTGAGTATTGACATATTGAAAAAATTAAAGCAACTTTACATTCCAAATTTTTATTTAATATTTCAAGTAGTTTTTTATAAAAATCTGTCATGATCACATAAATTCTAACCTATATTCGTTGGTCAGATGACCAAAAAAAAAAACCCCTGATAAGCTATAACCTTAAAGAAGGTCCAAAATGGGGGCTGGAGCTGGGGCTCAGTGGCAGAGCACTTGCCTTGCATGTGTGAGGCACTGGGTCTAATTCTCAGCACCGCATATAAATAAATAAAATAAAGACCCATTGACAACTAAAAAAAAAAAATGTTAAAAAAACAAGGTCCAAAATGAATTTTTTAAATGCCATTAATAGAATAGTTCACTAAAGCCACCCTATGTCAGATGAGGGTCTAACTAATAATGGAAACTAACCTCTTGAAAAGGCACAAAAATATTCCTGTTACCCTAAAATGTAGTAGCTATGCTGCCATAAAGGAAGAAGGCTAAATGGCATCACCACCCCTGACTGCCCTTCAGATGACCTTCCACGCTGGTGCATTTGTTAAATATGGCAGCACTATTTTAGGGCAGTACTGATGGTTTCAGGTAGTTGTGGAGTTAAAATAAACCTCCAAATATTCAAGTTTAAACTTCCTTTCTAGTTCTTCTGACATGCTTTTCATTTACCCATTTTTCATTTGTGTTTCTCTCCTCTCTGCTGTAAGGAAGGGCCACCTTCAAAGAACCAGTTCAGCCCAGTGTGATATCAACCTGGTAGAGAGGAGCAGTACCAGAGCACACCACAGTGAGTAAATTCATGCTTAAAGTCCTGGATGAGACTTCTATTGTTACATGTAAAGATTTGAATCCATTAAAAAAAAAGAAGAAGAAAAAAGTTGACCTTAAGAATTTTCAATGGATTTTGTGTTAGGCACCACTTTTCATGTGAAGATAAGTTTCCTATTAGCAGTATGACACAGGTCATATTTCCCCACACACACACCCCTAAAAAAAAACAATATAAGTGATACATGAAATTACAATGTTAGCTATAATGTGCTACAAGGATATGAGGAACTAGTTTCCAGAAGTATTCTGAAGTGGACTGGCCTATGAGGAGAGGAGTTTTACCTGTGTGGGTAAACAAATCACTGAGAAACTTACAGACAAATTAACAGTTTAAAACTATCTGGAATAGCAGGCACTGAATTTGCTTCTTTTCACTTGAAATAAACAAAAATACATGAACAATGGTTTTCAAGACATTGACATTAGGCAACAAAGTACTGTGAGGGATGGGAATCAGACAAGATGAGCCAGTGATTGCCTTAGATTCCTGCCTTGAAAGCTTCCAGGTTGCAGTGCAGTATTAGGGAACCCAGGCTGAGCTTGGTGAATTCCCTGAGTTAAGAAGATGGAGCTGAGAGTCCTTGAAAAGATGAGTGGTGCCCCATATTCACACAGGGCCTCACATTCATGGGTCTTTGGAAGGTTACACAAAATGTGTTTCCCTAGGAGCAGGGAATGATTTGCCCTAGGTTAAGAGCTGCTTCAGTCCTGTCTAACAAACTTTAAAAACATGAACTGACAGAATCAAATTGTTTCTAATAATATAAAAAGTATACAGTATTCAACAAGTAATTTCATAGTGTTTCACATTCAATAAAAAATTACCAATCTGCAAAGAAGCTGGAAATGCATTTAAAAATGAGAAATACCTAATACATTGAAATTCCCATAGATATTAGAAATAGCAAGCAAGCATATTAAGTGTTTATTGTAAATATAGCTCATGTAGTCACAAGGTGAGACATGGAAGATTTTTTTTTTTTGCAACCCAAAGTGAATTTCCAAAGAAATGAAATTGAAAACAAGTGTGTAAAATAAAAAATGTTGGATAGTAATAATGTCAGATGAAAAAACTAAAAAAAAGATTCGTGAATTTGAAAATACAACATTATACACTATTAAAAAAGAAACAAAAATGTTAAGTGAAAAAAATCAATAGTGAATTATGTGACAAATTCAGGTAGCATAATATTGTGTTAACTTGAGTTCTAGGAGGAGATAAGAAGGGAGATAGAAAAAAATATTTAAAGAAATAGCCAATTTGTTCAGATTTTATAAAAAACTATCAAAGTACAGATATAAATTGTTCAATTAACACTACACTTAAGAACCATAAAGAGCTGGCTGCAGTGGCACACGCCTGTAATTCCCACAGATTGGGAGGCTGAGGCAGGTGGATTGCGAGTTCAAAACCAGCCTCAGCAAAACCAAGGCACTTAGCAACTCCGTGAGACCCTGTCTCTAAATAAAATACAAAATAGGGCTGGGGATGTGGCTCAGTGGATGAGTGCCCCTGAATTCAATCCTAGTAGTAGTAGAAGAAGAAGGAAGGGGGTCGGGGGGAGGGGGATCTAGGCACATCATAATCTCTCAAGACTAATGATTGATTTTATAGGCAGCCAGATAAAGACACATTACATATAGAGAAGCTAAGACAAGGATGACAAAGGATGACAGCAGGCTTCTTTTAAGGAACAGTGTAACCCAGAAAGGAGCAGAGCAACTATAATGATTTTTTTTTTCTAATTAAAAGGCTGGGGATGTAGCTTAGTAGTAAAGCCATGAGGCTCTGGGTTTGATCCATGACACTGCAAAAAATTAAAAAGATAAATCTAGAATTTTATATCTTAGAAAAAATATCTTTCAAAAACAGGGCAAAATAGAAAATCAATCTTGAAAAAGAAGAACAAAGTTGGAGAATTCAGTTTCTGATCTCTAAATTTACAATGAAGACTCCAGTAACCAAGACAGGGTAGTGCTGGTATGAGGATGGACAGAGACCCGTGGAATAGAATTGGGAGTTCAGCAATAAGTGCTTGTTTATTTCTTTAAATGTGTCAAGGCAATTAATGGGAAAAATAATGGTCTTTTCAATAGAAGGTACTAGAAAACTGTATAACCACTTACTAAAGAATGGATTTAAACCCCTACCTCAATATATAAAAACTAAATCAAAATGGATCAAAGTCAAAACCATATATAACTCTTATTAAAATAGATAGGTGTAAATCTTTCTGACCTTAAGCAATAGATTTTTAGAAATGATTCCAAAACTATCAGTAACAAAGATATAAATAAATAGTATTCATCAAATTCTTTTTTAAAAACCATTTGTGCCTTAATGATTCCTTCAAGAAGGTGAAAATTACAGAATGGAAGAAAATTTTTCAAATCATGAGATAAGGAACTTGTATCCAAAAATCATAAAGAAACTTACAAGTCAATAATAAAAAAAACAGCTAGCGCAATTTAAAAATGGATGAACGATCTGAAAAGATAGTTTTCCAAAGAATGTACAAATGACCAATAAGCACACAAAAAATTCTCATCATTAGCCATCAGGAAATGAAAAGCAAGACTATAATGAAGCTGGACATGGGGAAGCTGGACATTGGTGGTACACACCTATAATGACGGTGACTCAAGAGGCTGAGGCAGGAGGATTACAAATTCAAGGCTGGCCTAAGCAACTTAGTGAGACACTGTCTCAAAAATTTAAAAAGGGCTGGGGATGTAGCTCAGTGGTTAAGCGCCCCTGGGTTCAATCCCTGGTACAAAAACAACAACAACAAAACTCAATAACAGATTATCACTTCTTGCCCATATGGATGACTGTATTAAGAAAGAACAATAACAAGAATGTGAAGAAACTGGAGCTGTTGCACATTGCCAGTAGGAATATAAAATGGAGCAGCCACTTTGGAAAACATTCTGGCAGTTTCTCCAAAGTTTGTATGTAAAGTTACCTTATGACCCTGTGATTCTACTCCTAGGTATACACCAAAGAGAAATGAAATGTATCCACACAAAACCTAAAACATTACATTTCATGAATGTTCATGGCAGTATTATTTATAATAAAAATTTCTATCTATGGGGCTGGGATTGTGGCCCGGAGATAGAGCGCTCGACTCGCATGAGTGAGGCACTGGGTTGGATCCTCAGCACCACATAAAATAAAATAAAGATATTGTGTCCACCTATATCTAAAAAATAAATATTTTTAAAAAATTTCTAACTAAAGGACCATTTTTACTACATTAATTACATTTTTACTACAGAAAATTATTAGGCAAGAGACAGAAAGGAAGTAGTTAGTAATAATACATGCTGCATGTAATAGGGATGAACTTTGAATACAGTATTTGAAAGTGAAAGAAGCAAGTTACAAAGAAAACATATTTTGTGATTGCATTTATATGAAATGCCCAGAATAGGCAAATTAACTACAGAGACAGAAGCAGATTAATTGTTGCCTTACATTGAGTAAAATTAGAGAATTAGAGAGGTGATGGCTAAGGAATGGAAGTTTGCTTTAGAGGAATAAAAATATCCTAAATTTCATTACAGTGATGGTTACACCATTCTGAGTACTAAAAGCCACTGAATTGTACGATTTAAATGGATGAATTATATGGTATATGGATTGTATTCAATAAAGCTATGAATCAATTAAATAATAAAAAAGTGAAGGCAAATAGAGTTTTTTTCAGACATACAGAAATTGAAAGTTGAATGAATGTGTCATCACCAGATCCTCCAGGCAAAACAACAATGATATCAGATGTGTAATATGAACTTATTTAAAGGAATTAAGAACACTGGAAATGGAAGTTACATGGATAAATAATATGGGTTTTTTTTTTTAATTTTGTTTTGTTTTGACTGTGTTGGCTATTGAACTTAGGCCTTTGCACATGCCAAGGAAGTGTTGTACCACTGAGCTATATCATCTGACCTAATGTCTTTTTCTTACTCTTTGAATCTACAAAAGAGATAACTGACCATTTCATTAGAAATTATAAAGTGTGGGGTTTACAACACATATAAAAGTAAAATGTATAATGACAAAATACATAGGTTGGGAGCGGAGCAATGGAAATATCCTATTGTAAGTCTCCCATGCTACATGTCAAACAGGGTAATATCACCTGAAGGGAAACCACAGCAGGTCAAAGATGCATGTTGCACACCCCAGTGCAACCTCTCAATGTCTAAATTCCCCAATTAGAAGGTACAGATTATAAAACTGGATTAAAACTATTTATTATATGCTACCTATAAGAAATGTACTTTAATTATAAAGATGCAAATATAAATCTACATGCTAACATTAATCACAAGAAAGCTTGAATGGCTATACCAATATTAGACAAAATAGATTTCACAGCTAAGAATATTATGAAGGATAAAGATTGTCATTTCATAAAGGGGGCAATTTGTTAATAAGTCTAATAATACTAAATGTTTATGCACTATGATAGTTAATTTTATGTGTCAACTTGGCTGGGGCTATGGTTTGGTCAAACATTATTCTGGATGTTTCTGTGAGAGTGTCTTTGGATGAGATTTGCATTTAAATTGATGGACTCTGAGGAAAATATCAGATTAGCCTCCATAATGTGTGTGTGCCTCAATCAATCAGTTAAAGTCCATAGAACAAAAGGCTGGCTGCACTAGAGAAAGAAATCCTGCAAGCAGATTGCTTCAGATTTTATCTGCAACATGGGCTCTTCCTTGTTCATCAGCAGGCTGCCTCTGGACTTCAACTGCAGCTTTCTCCCGAGTCTCCAGCCTGCCAGACTCCCCATCTGATTTTGAACTTCCCAAGTCTCCACAATTATATAAGTCAATTCCATAACATAAATCTCTTTCTGTATATACACATATCCTATTGGTTCTGTTTCTCTGAAGAACCCTCTCTAACATGCACCTAAATGCAGAACTTTTAAAATA